CCGGCATTGATCGCTGGCGCGATGGCGACGGCGGTATCGCCGATCCGGTCCGGGTCGGGCGGCACGCGAGCCATGGCGTGCGGTCCCACCCGGACACTAGGTATCGCCCCCGGCCACGCGGCCACAGCCGCTTGACGATACCTGTGATCTGGCCGGCGGGGGGCGGGCGGGCGCTGGGCTGCAGAGGGTCACTGCGCTGACCGCTCCCCGGCTGGGGGTCGGCCGGACGCCGCTGCGCCTCATCTGTATTCGCGGAATGTGCGTGCCGCCAGCGCATTCAATTTGATTTGTGTTTCCTGGGATGATATGTAAAACACTTGCGTGGGGCCCCTTCCTGTTATTCAGTGCGTGCCCATTAGTTGGAGGAACAACAAACCCCTGCTGTGTGTGACCAGGTCACACGGCGTGCCTTTGCTCGGGGTCTTCCGTGAGACACAGCCACCGCGTCCGTGCGCGTTCAGATCTCACGGCTTACCGTGGTGTACAGTCCCTCGAGAGCACGGCATCTGTCGCTGTGGTAGGGTCTCACGGCTTACCGCGGTGTACAGTCCCTCGGAGAGCACGGCATCTGTCGCTGTGGTAGGGTCTCACGGCTTACTGCGGTGTACAGTCCCTCGGAGAGCACGGCATCTGTCGCTGTGGTAGGGTCTCACGGCTTACTGCGGTGTACAGTCCCTCGGAGAGCACGGCATCTGTCATCGTGGTAGGGTCATGCGGCGCGCCCTGGCATGTCGCCGGCCCGGGCCACAGCGAGCCCTGCCGCGTGGGGGGTCAGCTCACGCGGCTGAAGTGGGCCCCAGTCACCTCGCCTCGCCCGGCGCGAGGTGAGCTTAACGCCCCCCCCCCCCACACACACACATACCCTCTGCTTCTCCGTCGAGAGCCGCCATTGGTCAGCCTTGGCAGGTGCCACGGACTTGTATGGCTTGGTCGCGTGGTCTCCGTAAGGAAACGCCGGCCCTTGGAGGCAGAGGCTGACCAAGTCTGCTTGGCAGGGGTGTAGTCTCTATTCACTTGGGGCGCTTCAGTCTCGCCCTCGTCTCCCCAACTTTGAGAAGAAAGTGGGCGAAATGCATGGAGAAGGCCGCCTTATAGCGTTTTTTTAGGGGGGATTTTTAGGGGGGCACGACTAGGCTCATTTTGTGAAACTACTCCCCTCCTGCCGGATGAATAAACGTCGGAGCAGATTAATTGTGCCTGTCATATTAGGCCGGCTCTCCCGCCATCTGAGGCCGGCTTTCCTGCCATCTGAGGCCGGCTCTCCTGCCATCTGAGGCCG